AATAATTTTTACTGTCTCAATATTCATATACCTAGCAACAGTGCGAATACCATAGCTAATTCCGCCTAGTTTTGAACAAACCTGCTTAATTTGGTGGCCCCAATTTAGAAACTCATCAAGATAAATACCCAATACTTTAAGTGTTCCTGTTACTTCCAATTCAGTGTCGGCAATTTTTATATTATTAGGAATGCTTATGCGATTTTGCTTTGTTCGAAATAGTATAATATTGGTTTTTGTTGTATTTAAAATTAATTTGTTTTTAGTAAACCAGTCTTGTATTTTATTAAATGCCTCATCGCCATTACGCACTAGTTCTTGCAGTGTGGAGCCCTTTACTAGTAAATTAGTGTCGTCAGCGTAGTTTGTTATCGTGAATTCTCTTTCTATTAGCCCTATATCGTTTATAAATAGGATAAATAAAATAGGGCCCAAAATACTACCCTGCGGAATGCCAATGTTACATGTTTGGATTTCAGACTTAAACATTTTGCTATCATTTTTAATTTGAACTTGTTGTTTCCTATTTGAAAGATATGATTTAACCCATATGTAAGCGTTACCTCGGACCCCGTATTTTTCTAATTTGTACATCAGGAGGTCATGATCTAGACAATCATATGCCTTAGATAGGTCTAGAAAGATTCCCAATGCATTTTTCTTTTTTTCAAGTAGCTCTATCACTAACTTCGTGTACTGGAAAATAGCTGTAGTGGTTGATCTGCCTTTTAAATAGCCATGTTGTCCTGTGGAAAACAAATTGCATGTTTCTATAAAGTTCACTAGTTGAGAACACATAACTGCCTCAAATAGTTTTGAGAAAGCAGGGAGTAAGCTTATTGGCCTATAATTGTTTAAGTCTGACTGTTCTCCTTTTTTGTAGATTGGCTTGATGACAGCTAGTTTTAGTCGTTCCGGGAAGATTCCAAATTTTAACGAGTTGTTGATAATATGACATAGAACACTATCTATCTCCGTGATGCTAACTTTGATTATACTTGTAGGTATTCCGTCTTCTCCACTACTATGTTTATTTTTTAATTTTTGGCATATTTTAAGAAGTTCTGTGCTTGTAATTGGTTTTAGTAACATTGACTTGTCGCTATCACTGATGTTGCATGTAAATGGTACTTTGGGTAACTTAGTTAATAAGTCTGGAATAATTGTAAGGAGATGTTTATTAAAATTATTCGATATCGCATTTATCTATATCTGGGGTCTTTCCCTGAATCTCATTAAATATTGACCACATACTTTTTGATTTATTATCTGAATTTTTTATTTGTGTATCATATTTTTTTGCACGTTCTTTAACTAGAAGTTGATTGTATTTTTTTGTAATTTCTATGTATTCATTTCGATACCTCTCATTGTGTTTTAATAGAACATGTAGTATGTCTAGGTTTTGTTTACATTTCAGAATTTCAGGACTATACTTTACTTTATTTTTATTATACTTATTTGTAATTTTAAGTGGAAAACAATGGTTAAAAATATTAGAAAATATTTTGATAAAATTATTCCATTGACTATTTACATCATTTATGTTAACCTCATATACATTGTCCCATGTTTCTTCTAGCAACATTTTCAAAAAATCATTTTTATTTTCTTTTTTATAAAATCTTCTGTGTATAAAGTTATTTTTAATCATTGTTTCTATAATAAAAGTGATTTTTTGTGCATTATGATCGGACAGGTGTGTATTAAGCACCATTGCCGTAAATGAATGGCAGTTTGTAAATATATTGTCTAAACAACTTTTGCATGATGGAGTTATTCTTGTGGGTAAGAAAATGGTTTGCTTTAGTGAAAAAGAGGCCATTAAGCATAATAGTTCATCTTTTTTATTGTTATCTTGTAGCATTTCAATATTAAGATCCCCTGCTAAAAAAATTAATTTGTTTTCATTTGAAATTGTAGAAAGTATGCCTTCAAGTTTATTAAAAAATATATTTACATTCCCTTTCGGCCTTCTGTATATTGACAAGATAATAATAGCCTGTTTATTTACCAAACATTCAACAGTTGCACATTCAAATTCACCTGGCACCGAGAATTTGCTTAATTTTTTTCGTGCCGTAAACTTTATTTCTTTTTTTACAAACACTGCTGCTCCTCCATGTTCATTTTTACCTCTGCAGAAACTGTTTGCCAATTTAAAGTCTTTTATATTTAGCCTTTCTAATTCTTCTGCCGTTCTCCAGTGTTCGGTTATGCATAGAAAATTACAGTTGGAGTTTTCATAGAGTAAATGCTCAATTTTATCAACACAATTTCCCAGGGATTGCACATTCTGGTGAATTATAGAAAACTCTTGATCTTTAAAAATATGTGCTGTTTTGTTGGTTTTAAGTTGGGTGGCTGGGTCTAGGTATTTTATAAAAAACAATCTGTATAATTAATATTTTGCTTAAATTTCTCAAGCCTCCTTTTGTATACTGGACAGTTTGGGTCTCGTGCCGAATGATGTAAAACTCCATATTTCATTTTGTTGCAGTTGGGGCATTTCCAATCGTCTTGAGTGCAATCTTTCCCTGCGTGCTCTTCTCCACATTTATGGCAGCAGTCTTTTCCAGTGCAGTACTTTGATACGTGTCCAAAACCACAGCATTTAAAACAAACGGCCAAGTTAAAGTGTTCTTTGATGTGCACTTTCACTAAGTCAAAATCAATCACTTGCTTTTTCAGAAACCATTTTGCTATATTTGGTGGAGCCTGAAGTACCAAGTTTTCTTTCATTGGATTCCTGCACTGTTTTCTCGCTACAATGTTTATTTTTTGTTCAATATTTCTTCCAAGTTCCTCTATCGTTTCCTCATTTATATTTAGCCTAATTATTTCATTTAGGAGTTCACTGTCCTGATATCCTTTCTCAATTCCTGTAATCAAAAACATAGGGTCATAGCTCTGAGCGTCTTTGACAGATATGTCATTCTTGTTTTGCAACTCTATTTTCAATTTATCCTGTTGGCTCTTTGTATGGCTCTCTACTAAAACTGTACCATTATTTAATGCACGTATTGTTCTAAACCCTCCTTCTGTATTTTTGGTGTATATTTCTTTTCTAAGCTTTTTTACTGCTTCCTTTGAGTCTGTAGTACTATTTACCTTTATAAGAGTTTCATGCCTTTTCTTATTTTCTGGAGTTGTCCATCCCGCTTTGCTTAAGTCTATCATTTCATCCTGTTCAAAATTTCTTGTCACTATTACATCTGCATATGTCTTTTTCTTTTGTGTTTCTATTTTTGTGTCTCTATTTAAACTACCAAATTTGTTATTTTCCATTTGGTTTGTACTTGATTTTTTTTCTGGTGTGTAGTTTTGTGTGGTTTGTAGCTTGTATTTTAACATTAAGTTCTCCTTTTCTATGCGTCCTAGCTGATAGATTAAAATGGTGAATTTTTTGTGTAAGAATTTTGTGGCGTCTCTTATTTTTGACTGGTAGCTAAGTTCCATTTTTTCTTTCTCAAGAGTAGATAATTCCTCAATTTTTTCTATAGCATTAATGATTTCCAGGATTTCCAATTCTGTAGTGGGAATGTCTGTTTCATTCTTGTCTCTGATGACTTGGTTTGGTACTGCTCCAATATTATTTCCATCACATTGTCTTTTATTCGCAAAAATCTCCGGACTTGAGTTTGATCTAGACCTTTTGTTAAAACCTTCCGTTCCATCTTTATTTTTGCCTTCTGGTGGGGTTCGTGGAATTGTCTTTTGAGGTTTAAAACCAGTTTGGGTATTTTTTTTTTGAGTCTGAAGAGTTACAGTGGAAATTATGCCAGTACCTCCCTGCATTTGTATACTGTTTGTTGATGGTTTTTCATTGCTGCTTGGTAAAGTTTTTTGTTGGTGTTTTTCTGGTTTTACTTTGATGCCTATGATGTTATTTATATCTGTAGTTGACAATTTCGCTGGATACAAGGAATTATATAGTTGTTTGTTTTCCTCTACATTATTTCCACTTTTCTTTTTCACAGCGCCCTGGTCACTGTTTAATTCACTATTCATGAGTTTTCTGGTAATTAATTTACAGTAATTTACGGTTTTTTTAAATTTTCTATACTTGTTTACAAAAACACGTGTGTCGCTTATAAACACGAACGTTATAAAATGTCGCCTTCTTTTAATTTAAAACCGGATTGGTTTATATCAGAGTGAATATTGAAATCGGCCAATCACTAATGCCTTACGTGAATAATAAATTCATTATTATCCTGTTAGGCAAAAAATTTATAATGTTTATCATTATTCACTGAAAACACAATATTATGAAATAGGACGCGCTCTTTTACTCCGAACCGAAATTAAAGTCATATTTTAAAGAAATTAAATTTAAATTACACTATACAACATTATTTATTTTGTTTTTAAATTAATATTTTGTTGAACAGTTTTAAATTCCCTGACATTTACAGGTTTTCCAGACGAGTGGCATGAGGTAGTTGTAGTAGAATCTATATATATATTAGGTTCGCTCTTACCCTCTCAAATGTTTCTATTTAATATAAAAAAAATCCTCACCAAATATGGGCGTCTCAGCTCAACTCTAAGAGGTCGCTGTTTTTATTTTAGTTTCCCATTTAATAAACATGGGAAAAAATAATTTTATGTTTGGAATTTTATACCTCTGTATCAAAGTAACTTATGGCAATGATCATTGCAGTTTCTTACATAAAATGTAACGCTCTACAAAAAAAACTCTCTTATTATTTTTCGATAAATTGATTTCTTCTAGAGTTATTCAAGGTCAAAGTTTGATAACATCAAATTTTCTGTTTTTTTTAATTTTTTATAAATTGCTTTTCTGCACAAAACTCACTACTTTTGAGATTTTTTAACCTTTTTTTGCATAATTTTGGAAATTTTGCCTACCATTTTGTATATTTCGGTATATTTATACTATTGTGCGAATTTTTCCCAAAACGTTTTATTAAAATCATTTCTTCATCCAGGCTCATCTGGCAAAAACAATTTTCTAGATAAACTTGCAAACTTACCATGTAGTCAGATTTTGGACAAATGTTGATTAAAGAGCACATTTCCTTGGGTTTCAGCTCGTTCACCAAGTAAGTGTACATGAGACCGTAGTATTGGTCGACGACGTCCAAACATTCGCTTTTGAAGGACCTCGTTTGTTTGCAGAGGCCTTCCAACACCATTTTGAATTCGCTCTCGGTCGTGTTGGCCACCAACAGATCGCGCAAGTGTCCCACTAGTTGTTCGCACAAATCGCATGGCAAATCGTCCTCAGTACTACAAAGAAAAATAGGATATTTTCAACTTCCTTAAAAAAACTCCGAATTACCCGGTATTACCCTTATGGCTCAGAATTTCCCAAGTCTGCCACTTAAAAATTGATGGTCTCATTTTTCATCGGTTTTCAATCGATTAAGGGGTAAAAACAACTTTCATAAAATATATTTTCAAAAAATCGATTTTTACAATACTTAAAAATAATTACATTTTTTGTAGATGTTTTTTTCAAAAATTGATTACTCCCGAACGGTTCATCAAAACTTTTTTATATCAAAATTTTCGTAGAAAAATATACTTTACGATGTTGTTAGGGGCAAACCTTAAAACAAATAAAATAACTTTTTTTAAACAGTTGAAAATTAATAAAACTTCTCCGCCTGCGAGGAGATTTTTCACATTTTATCTGATTTTACAATCCCTTAAGAAAATTTTGGTAAAAAAAATCGTGCTCGTCCAGCGCTAGAGGTCGGAGCGCGGTTACAAAAACATTTATAACTTTTTACCCATTACAAAATAATAACTTTTTTTTACCAATATTTTCTTAAGAGATTGTAAAATCAGATAAAATGTGAACAAATGTCCTTGAAGCCGAGAAGTTTTATTAATTTTCAATTGTTTAAAAGAATAGTTATATATATTTTTTAAAGGTTTGCCTCTAACAACAAATTTGTTATTGTAAAGTATATTTTTAAACGAAAATTTTGTGGAACCGTTTGGGAGTAATTTTTGAAAAAATATTCAACAAAAAATGTAATTATTAATAAGTATTGTAAAAATCGATTTTTTGCAAAAATATTTTAGGAAAGTTGGGTTTACCCCTAAACCGATTTTTTCATTTCATTTCATTTCATTTATTTTGGTCATACAAGCTATACAGTATACAATATAGATATGACAGGTCAAAAAAAAGAACAATAACATGACTATAGCTAAATCTTAATATATAAATAATACAAAGTACGTACATACATGAAAGACAGATGTAAAAATAAGGTGTAGAATTAGGTGTGGCCTAAAGTTTTATTTAATAAAGTCTGTTATTTCATAAACACATTCTTTAAGCAAGAAACTTTCGAGTGATGGTTGAAATAAATTGTTATTTGGTTGCTGTTTAATATTTTTAGGAAGATTGTTATATATTTTTAACCCTGCGTAAAAGGGGGATTTTTTATATAGAGACAAAAAATGTTTCGGTGTGCGAAACAAGTCTGCATTACGAGTATTATAACCATGTTCAATGTTTTTGTTATGAAAAGTTTTTATATTTTTACGAACATAACATGATAGAGCATATAAGTAAATACCATGGAGTGTTAAGATTTTATAATTTTTAAAAAATGCTTTACAGGAATCTAAGGGTTTTAATCCAAAAATCACTCTAATAGCACGCTTCTGCAGAATAAATACTCTGTTGATTTCTGTTGCCCTTCCCCACATAACTATATTATAGGATAAGTGGGGGTACACAAGTGCATAGTATGCTTTTATTAATAGCTGTCGTGGTAAATTGTTACTTAAAGTATGTAGAGCGAAACAAGCGCTGTTTAATTTAGCACATATATGTTTAATATGGTCTCCCCATGAGAGATGAGAGTCCAGTATTGTTCCTAGAAATTTAACTTTATTTACAAAGTTTAGATTAAGGGTGTATTGCTCATCCTGACTTAATATTTTTCTAGCTGAGAAATATATATATTCGGTTTTTTCAAGATTAAAAACCGATACAAAATGAGACCATCAATTTTTAAGTGGCACACTTGAGAAATTTTGAGCCTTAACATAGAGATGCGACTTAAAAAAAAAACGGTCAGTTTTTTTCAGGTTTTTTTTTTCATTGTTTTTTTTTTAAATTTGCCTAATTTTTTATGTTTCCAGTCCAGTTCATGGACTTAAATTAGCCACTAAATGACATTTAGTAAATGTAAATAGTCTCGCGCTATGCACGCGCCACCACCACCGAATTTACCAATAAGGGCCGCGCTTGTTTTGATTTGGTCCTAAAAAAGTATCTACCTTTAATATTTTTGGTTCAGCGCTTGATTTTTCAAAAAGCTACCAAAAGCAATTTTTTCATGATTTTTCAAATTCATGTAGAGTATGAAATTTTTTTTTTTTCAAAAAAACAATAGCTAATTCTTGTAGAACATTTATTCATTGGTGGTCAGAACATTCCGTGGACCAAAAAAGAAATCCAAAAAAATTTCGAATTTTTTTATTAACGTAATCTCAAAACTAGAAACTTCAAGCTTCAAATTGCTTTTTTTACGGCTCCAATACGACCATTTTTAACAAAGATTCAGCTATCCAAAAAATCGCACAAAATTTTTTTTACCCTTTAATTTATTTAGAAATTTTACATTTCTATTGGTTTCTTATGTGTACTACCAAATAAAAAGAAATCAGATTTTTTAGTGTCGGTCAAAATTTTCAATACTGACAAATGTAACATATTCTACATTTCACTTTATTATTAATATACATTTTACCCAAAATTTCATTTTGAAAAATTACTCCATTTTTTAAGATAGATGTTATTTATTGACAGAATATGCTTTACTGTAGCGGATTTGAAAAAAAAAACAAAAAAACCGTTTTTTTTAGGTTTTCTTTCATGTTTTTTTCACATCTGAAAAAAACTGTTTTTTACATCTCTACTTATACAACTAATATTTTAAGTATACATCTTACTTGGGTTTGACGTATCCACTTTGAGATGGGATGGTGATTTCAATGTCGTGCTGGTGGAACTGGGCGCTGCATTCGCCGGCCATTAGGCAAACGTCGGTGGGGTTGAAGCTTTCCTGGATGTGCTTGTAGATGTCGGTAAAGTAGCTGATTACAATGTTGCTGCAAGCGTCCGAAAGGGAGCCCAAATTTCCACAAATCTAAATGGCAACACAAGTATACTATACAGGGTGCACAAAGTATCCTTCTATGCATGGTTTTTTGTATTATACAATGTAGATATGATTACTCAAAAAGTGCGTAATTACAAGTCTATTAACATGGCATTAAAAAAAATAAAAAATATACAAGGTGTTATGTGATTAATACATTAATTACATGTAATATATTAAAATACTGAATAACTTGTGACATAAGGTGTAACGGAAAAATATTTTAAAAAATATTTTCCAAAAGATAAAGAAAAAAATATGCATTGGGGTCATTCCACGTTACTCTGGGATTTTTGTCCCACCCGTCACAATTAAAAATTGTGTTTATTATGCTTTTAATAAGTTATAAGCACAATAAAAATAATATTATAAAATATTAATTTAATAACTTGTGGTTTTTACTCACAATAGGGGCATTCCACGTTACTCGGTAATTACTGTCCCGCCCGTCACAATTAAAAATTGTGAGTAAAAACCACAAGTTATAAAATTAATATTTTATAATATTATTTTTATTGTGCTTTTTACCTTATTAACCCTTATGCAGGCGCACCTCTTTATGCAACGTAGTAGGTCGCGCGGGGTGTCAGAGACACCCCTGATGACAAAGCGTCCCTGAGTGTTATTTACATTTTTTTTGTTTGTTTTTTCAAAGTTATCAAGCTAAGATGAGCTTAGAGACAATGAGAACATATTTCGTTACGTTCAAATTTGATAAAAGATGACAAAAAAAAAGAAAATGTCAAAAGACGACAATTTTAATAAAATAAAGCATTTATTTAAAAAACACAAATTTTAAAAGTCATAATAATAATAAAAACCAAAAAAAAACACTAAGCACATAAGATAAGGTTTACTTTTACAAGTAATTATGAATTGGTAAAGAAAAGTCAATAGGGAGGCAAAACCCAGCCTGCTCAAAGTCACTCAATTTCGATACTAGAATTTACTATGCATGGAATCAAAGCTTTTTTACAAACATTTTTCCTGTGCTTCATGCACATGTTTTTGGCACACCTTCTATTTTTTGCAAAAAGGCATGCCTTGGACATTACACATCTGCCCTTCTTTACCGGCAACTGATAATTTGAAAATTATTGGGCGGAGAAATTTTGGCAAATTTTTATTTGTTGTTTACATAAAATATTAGAACGAACGGAAACAAGCCAAAACATAACGCAATGCTTTCAAGATAAAAATAAATATTTTGTCGTGCGTTCCACTTACTTTTTTACAGGGTATAAACTTATTTATGTGAAGTAATAACAAAAGTTGAAAAAATCAGCTTAACAAATTAATGCAAAATAATTGTACGTGGAAAGGCGCACGGGGTGTCCACAGCACCCAGAGCCTGTTCGAAACAAAATATCAGACAACCTATTACATTAACTTCGAAATCGGCAATATAATATGACTGACAATACTTTGACAGGAAGGTACTGAAAGTAAGCGCCATTTATTCGAAACGAAGTGAGACCGGTAGCTATATTTAGGAAGCTGGGGTGTTTTGTACACCCCGCGTGCCTGCTTAAGGGTTAAAAGCATAATAAAACAATATTTTTAAATAAATTTTATAACTTGTAGTTTTTACTCACAATTTTTAATTGTGACGGGTGGGACAAAAATCCCCGAGTAACGTGGAATGACCCAATATTTAATTGTGACGGGTGGGACAAAAATTACCGAGTAACGTGGAATTGTAAGTTTTTTATATTTTTTGTAATACGGCACTGGGTACACAGTTTTGTTTTGTAAGTACATAGCAACCAACAAAGTAGCTGCGCGTTGCCAGTTGTAAAAAATTGTTCTTGCAAAAAATAGATAAATACTCAATAAATACAAAAGTTGTATGCCCTTAAAGTTGTAACACCCTTCTGTATTTATTTACTTATCCAGCTATTAGCTTAAGCAATGATGGGAAAAATTGGTACCTATTTTAAAACTCCATGACCACAAAATTCATTTTTCCATCGGTTTTTTTCTTTCTCTTTACTCAGATGAAATTAGGACAAGTTCACAGGTTAAACTTTAAATATTCAATTTGTGTAAATAAATCCAAAAGAACTTTCCTTAGTTAAGATATTTACAATTTAAGCACATAACCTAAAATTTTAAAGAAATGCACTAATATTAATATTAATATTATTATGGTAACCAGATTCTGTCATAAAAGTTGCCAGATTTTGTTTGAATTTACCTTCATTACAAAAATGACATAATCAACAATAATTGTTGATTATTTCATTTTTGTAATGAATTATTAATAAAAACGCCAAATGAACAATTTGCATTGTTGATTTTGTCATTTTGGTAATTAAGCTAAATTTAAATAAAATCTGTCAACTTTTTTTGAGAGAATCCAACCATAACATAATAAATGAAATTTGTCAACCATATTAGCCTAAAGTTCCTAGTTGATCAGTGGCGTACTTTTAGGTAGGATAAAGATTATTATAAATTATTTTTAGCCTTTAGAATTTAGAAAAAAGTTTCAGGTGCTTCTTTATGGACCCTAAGGAACTACCCATATTAAAATATATTACATTAATTACATAACACCCTGTATCTGAAAAAACTGAAAACTTGTCAAAACCAAATATCGTTATAACTTCATTACTCCTGGGAATTTTGAAAAAATTAAGTTTTACAAGGAAACACACTTTTGCTTTTCATCCAATTTGTGATATTTTTCGCCTACTAGGTTTTGAGATATCACCACCATCTTTTGTTTTTTTCTCTGGCCGCCATATTGTAATTTTACATGGTTAGAAAAATTTCAGAAATCCAACAATGTACAGGGTGATCCCCTATAATGTTGCCCCCTTTAACTTTTTTATTTTAATTGTCTGAAGAAATTGAGTGTGGTTATGTAGGTACTAAAAAATATTTTTTTTCTACCTATAAAAAAAACGAAAATTGATCAACATACAGGAAAAACAGTTTATTTTTTCTCAATGGATCACCCTATATATGAATTTATTTTTCGATTCCTTGTAAAATTCTAAGCATAATTCATCGTAATATAACTAAATTCAACCGTTTTTGAAATTATTTTTAAGATAATAAGTTAAAATAGTTTGTCTTTCTCTGTCTGAGTACGCCATTTTCATTTACTTAACAAGACATATTCAGGTCAATTCACTAACATAATTATGCTTAGAATTTTAAATAATCCAAAAATAAATTTATATATAGGGTGATCCATTGAGAAAAAATAAACTTTTTGTTTTTTTCTGTATACTGATCAATTTTCCATTTTTTTATACATACAAAAAAAGGATTTTTAGTACCTACATAACCACACTTTTGAATTTTTTAGTACCAACATAACCACTTTTAAATTTTTTGGCACAATTAAAGTAAAAAAAGTTAAAAGGGGGCTACATTATAGGGGATCACCCTGTACTTAAGTTATTGCGGCAATTATAAAAACAAAAGATGGCGTTGGTAAAAGAAATTGGATGAAAATATAGAATAATTATGGCACGCCGTTTTACTTTTTAATGACATCAAAACATTAACTCAAAAGAAAAATTATCAAAATTAAAAATTGCCTAGAAAATATAAACGTTCATAAAAATTACTAAATTAAGTTTAATTATAAATTAAAATCTACTAATTTATTTTTTGGTTTATTGGATAAATATATAAATATAATTTACATCATTTTGGTGTGATTTATAGTTTTTGTTGTATGAATATATTTTTTCTATTTAAAAAAGGTGCTTATATGTAAATAATAATATTTCATTTATTAATTTAAAATTAAGTTAAAGTAGAATATTTATTTTGGAATAAAAATTAGACACGATTTAAATCTGTAAGCGCAAGGCGAATTTTCTCGATGAAAAATTCGATGAATTAAAATGTTGTTTAACACTCGTAAACAGAATTTTAATTTGGCGCTAGTGCATAGTGCGGTTGTGTTATGTACTACTGCCTCCAAGCGAAACCACATAACAATTGTCGCAGGTCGCAGATCGCAGAACAGAAGCTTGCGCAAAGCACCCAGCTGACAAAAGAACCTTGCTCTATCGCCACGTCGCGGGGTGCTTTGCGCAAGCTTATGTTCTGCGATCGGACCCCTGCGACAATTGTAGACCCGGCTTAAGCTCGAAAATAAATTAGGCAACAGTGCAGTCCAAAATTTTCAGTCCTATCAATAATATATATCGACATGATTATAATTATTAAATTATGTAAGGGGTGCATTTCAACAAAACTGGCCTGCTGGCTAACCTTACTTTATACGAAATAATTTAGATATGGATTTCAGGCTGTGGTTCATTATTTGGTTAGTTGTCTATACAATAGGATTTCTCGCAGAAGAAGATCCTTATATAATTATCAGAATTGTCCTACTCGTTACGTGTCCGAGCCGACTACCTGTACAGTATAAATAATCCACAAACTTAATGAATGTAATTAATGGTGGATTGAAAATATTGTATTGTTTTTTATCTTTTAGTCAATAAAAACCAATATTTTAGTAAAAAAGATTTTCTTTATTTTTATTTAAAAAAATTAACTAATAAATTAGATAATAAATTAAGGAAAGCAAAACAGGTACTTAAATAAAATGGCAGCACTGAATTTTAATGCACCGTTGCCTAATTCGACGTTAAGTGATTTCGCTTGGTGGCAGTAGTACGTAACACAACCGTACTATGCACTAGCGCCAAAATAAAATTCTGTTTACGAGTGATAACCAACATTTTAATTCATCGGATTTTTCAGTCAGAAAATTCGAGGTACATAATATTTATTCCAAAAAATAAAAGTCAGGAATTAATATTCTGTCACATACAAGTAGCATTGAATTTATAATCTAAAAAAATATTCTGATTAAAAGAAATATGGCAGAAAGGTGCTTAAATGAAATTTCGTTTTGCTATATTTAAATAACATAATAATTAATAACAACTATACCACAACTTTATTTCCGAATAAAAATTGTTTCAAAGTGTTTTAAACAACAAAATAATTCG